CCAACTACAGTCAGTTAGGAATTTGTTAAGACAATTTGGATTGAATCAGCGCAGAAACGCCGGCTTAGAGGAAAAAAGATTGCCAAAAAGTTTCGAGAAGGGTTCTGATATTAGCAACCGATTGAGATCAATAATAGGTCAACGACAGCAAAAAAATATTTGTGACAGGCGTATGATTCGACAAAAATAAAGAAGAAGATTGAAAAAGGAAGAATTTTTAACTGAAGAATAGATCAAAGCCTGGATAAAGAAAAAGGGAGTTGCAAATAGTTGCCATATATCGAGTTCAAATTTGGTTGACCCACCAAGCTTTGTTGCGAAGTATGGGATGGTAAAATTTGACAAAAAAGGCTGGGTTCTAACATCAATTTATCAAGGATCGGAAAAAAAAACGAAGAAAAAAGTTTGATAACATGAATGCGAGTGGTGCTTGCGACGTATTTCTATCGCCGTCCTCATAAAAATTTCTGCCCTTACTAAAATAACTAGAAAGATGAAGGCTAGATATAAAGGCTAGATGCTTTATTTATTCAATTTAATTTTTGTTGATTAAAATGAAATTTGCAAAATTAATTAATTAAATTAAATTAATGAATTGTAATTTTAATAATAAATTCGCCTTCATAAAATTTGTTATCTCAACTTCTATAGAATTTTTTTCGTTGAGAAGTCCTGAGAAAATGCCAATTCCATTTTCCGTTTTAATACTAAAAAATATTTAAATTAATGGCAACCTATAGATCTTAATGGTTATAGAAAAGGTTATGCTTTTCTGTTCGGCTATGTTCATTGATCATTGTGATCGACAGATTTTTTCCATGCCACAAAAGACTATCGAGCTAATCATGATTGCAGAAGATTCGCTTTCTATTAACTTAACAATTATGGTTTAAGATGCGATAATGCTTTTGGGCAATTTTCATAGAATCTTATTTATTAAATAACTGCAATATTTACTAATTGAAATGGTAATAATTGAAATCTTTTTTTAAATTTCAGACATTGAAAAAATTTTTAGAAAAAGAAAAGTTTAAAAAAACTTCACACCTCGAACAGTAAATTTTGAGATAATAAGGGCCAATACCTGCAAATGGTGTTGTGCTTCTCCACTTGAGGAAACAAACGTTAGATTAGATCATTAATGAGTCAAAAGCATAGCTAAATTAGTTAATATTAATATCGTTCAATACTTGGATATCGAAGTATCGATGATTTTACGGACCACTGATTAGTCTCTCAGTTATTCCTAACATATTCAGGTGAAATTATTATTGCCCAAATACACCGCCTTCTAACCGATTACGATCCAAGAATGAAAGTTTCAGTGTAAGCTTAAAATAAGAATAAAAAGCATTTTTATTTTTTGTTCATTTTATTTTTTTGTTCATTTTATTTTATATTTTTAAAGCATCGTTATCAAATAGGCATGTCATGGCTTAAAGCTAATAAATAGTTGTCAAATAAAAAACGTCGAGGCTCGACATTTATTGCCCATAATTAAATACAATAAAAGGAAAAAAAATTTTAGATGGTAATTTATTCTAGCAATTATCATAAATAAAGAAAGAAGCAATCTAAGTTTTGATTTGCTTTATATTTGAATAATTTCAATTTATTGCCTGTTATAGCATTAGAATTTAACGGATAAATCACAACATTCAGCGGAATTCAAATCGACAAAGCCAGTTGAAACCATAAGTGAAATCAGATCTTTGAGTAAGTAAGAGTAAGTAAGTAAGTAATTCAGTTATATTTGTTTGAAAGCAAGCAAGCAGGGCGACAGGGCAACGAACCCTTCCTATCTGAAATTTTACAGATGAAGCAGAAATATAGGTACTAGAAGAATTAATAAGTACTAGAAGAAAACCGAAATAATAACTAAAAGAGGCAAAAATAGTAGCAAAAATGGTAAAAAAAGAAGCGACATGCCATGACATAGATTGGAAAAGTCTTAAATTATCTGATATCCAATTTATTCTAAAAATTTTTATAATGTTACATTTTATTTCTATATTTCTGAATAATTGGGGCATAGAATGGCTTAATGAGTTGTTGCTCAACTCGAAGCGTCGTTTCTAAGGTTCTATCTCCAAGTAAACCTGTTCGAAAATCCGAGTGATGATGGCGACTCACCTGCACTTCCATCGCCAAAGCATATTTATCTAGTGCGATAAGCCAGCGGAGCAAACCATATAACCAGTGATGGTTTTCTGGATAATCGATTTCAACAATTTATCGTAAAAAACTTATAAAAACTTATACTTATTATATACTTCTTATTATATACTTATTAAACTTAAACTTATACTACCTGGACTTAATTTCATCTAAACGAGGCATTTCTGTTCATTTTCAATTAACTTACTCAGAATATCTAGGAAAGCCATCTTATATTTTAAGTGAGGTCTAACGAATGCCTTTGCACAAGGAAAACTTCAGATTTACTTTTAAACGCTCTTTTGACTAATATTTTGGAGAATCTCCGCATTATTAACCTTCCTCGAATTTTCAGTATTTATGCCAAGATCTGATTTATGATCCGCACAAAATCTGATTTATGATCCGCACATGATTTATGATCAAAAGAACATCATTTATAGAAATAATAGAGAGTTTTTCATCATAATAATATGCAGAATTTTACACTTTTCCAAGAACACATTTTGAATTACTTACTGTAAAGTCACCTGTTCTTTAATTTTGTCATTCTGCATCACTATTAAACTCTCTATAAGTGACTGATTATTTCTTCCTTTAACTCTTCTTTGTTTATTTATTCTTTTATTAAACGCAAAATTTCTGGTTATGAAGGAAATGCACGATTATGACAAAGGATAATGTTCCTCAAAACACTTTCCATAATCGTTATTTTGCAAGTGAGCGTGACTCATCCTTATCAGTCATGGATAACTCTTTTTTTAAATGATATTAAATGCATATCCATCAAGAATGATAACGATTCAATATAACATCTATCGCATTTATATTAAGAACCTTGACAAATTATTATATTGCTCGTTCACGAAAAAATTCTTAATATCGATAAATAAAAAAGAAAATTGCTATGATCGACCGTAATAAATGATAAAATGTGCAACCTGTAGAAATTACCAATTTCTTGAAATTTTGTTTCTTCAATGAATGTAAACTGCACTATCTTAGCGAGTTCAGTTGAAATTTGCCAAATTTTTTATAATGACAGCTATAATTTTATTCCACTTCTGCTCGAGGTGGTGCTTCTGCACCATATCATATTTGCGGCCAGTGTTCATAAGATCCTCTAGCAGCACCTTCAGATTAAGGTAAATGAGAAATGTTTATATTTTCGATGTTTTTGCAAGAGATAAAATATTCATAGAAACAAAGGGTTAAATAAAAGCTTACGAGAAGATAAATGCTGGATTTAAACTAAAACACGCGCAAATATGCGTGCAAATTGCTATGAGGCCAAAAAAAATCAAATCTATATATATATATATATATACATAAAGATATTGATTATGCAAAAAGTCTCAGAAATTATCCAACGTAATCTCTTAGCTCTGTTATATGTCTCTCTTGATCTCGCTATCACTATTTGATTTTAAAATTTTAGTGAAAAGTGTCGGTCAGTGGCAAAATAATTGCCACCGAGAATCAAGGCTTGAGAATCAAGGTATTTTAATGTATATTGCATAATTCTCTTTTTATTCAAATTTTTTTTTAAAGAAAATTTTTAAAAGATAGGTTTACTAGTGTTGGAAGTTGAATGTCAGTATTTGCATTATGAATTGAGCAAAAACCCACTGAGCTATTCCACTGTCCATTGCGTATGCATTAGGTGAACCCACCATAGGCGTGGGCAGAATGATATTCAATGCATGTGGATATATTTTGCGCAATCATTCTTTATTAAGAGTTTCATTTTTTTTATTCACCATGCAAATTTTTTTTGAGGCTTTGGGTCATATAATTAGTTTGTGCCTATCTGTCTACCGTACAGTCATATAATATAACTGCGGAAAATGGCTAACGAAAGCAGAGTAGCCTAAGAAGCCTCTTTGACCACTCTTGTCTAAGATAGGTTTTGCGTAATTTGCAAAAATCGTACATGATTGCATCCACCTTTGCTCATTATTGAATTATAATATGGCCATAGATCTTACGATGGTTATGCCATGTTTTTCTATATCCATTGCCGCAATTGACGCAATTTAGATTGGACTGATACATGAGAGATTTTGGGATTTAGGCTTAGAGTATATGCCTAACTGACGATGAAAAAAGAAAAGAAATGAATAGATATGGCATCACAACGAGCGACTTGGAAAAGCTTTATTTTTATAGCCAGTGGAGCCAGTTTCTTAGTGGCTAGAAAAGAAGATTTTGGGAAGATTTTTGCACTGAATAGACTCGAAGAAGAAACAGGATCGAAAAACTTATTATACGATCCGATTCAAGTTGGATGAGCACAAATGACTTCCGTTAAGAAAAAAAAAATATATGGCTAATGCTGACATCTCTGGTTAGAAATTTTTGCCAGGGAATCACGTGGCCAATGGAAGCGCAACCAACATCACCTGGGTGCAAGTTTGTTCTTGTCGGGGCAGAAATCGCTTTATTTTTTTGTTTTTCAACACATTAAGCTGGACCACTATCCATTCGACTGTGTTGCCCCTAAATTATTTCATATTAGACAGATAATATAAAAGTTAAATATATTAACAAGCAGTTTCATTTTTAGCATTGGAAGAAGCGTCAATTTTTATTGCAAAATTTTTTTTGAGAAGAAATGATTCTAGTAAAATTGGCATGCACATAAACACTTTTCTGGATATTTTTGGAACGACCCACGTATTTTTTAGAACGTAAAATTTTTTTAAATCGATACGATAAAGATACGACAAAAAAAGCATCCACAAATCAGCTGATATAATAGAAATAATGTCCATAAATAGTGCGATAATTTCGGTGAAAATCAGTGATTTCGGAATCATTACTTTAAGCAAAAACAAGCTTTTATGACATTTTTCCGATTTTTTACTACAGCACTAATATTTAATGTCGCGCAAACTCAGTTTGCTCATCGACCACCACTTGGTTGATTATTTTTATATGTTCTTTCTAAAATTCCCAATGAATGAAATAAGCATAAATCCCAAAATCCTTAAATTTGGAATTTTGGCATGAAAATTATTTTAATTCTTGTTTTGCATTTATTTATAAATTTGTTTGATTAAATCATTAATTAATTATATTTTAGCTTGTGCGGTCGATAATGATTGTCGAATTTTCGAATTCTGTTTCAACCGGCAGTGTAAGTTGGACTTTTTAAGTAAGTTAATTTGCAGGATTTAAAATGATAAGTTGGAATGCAGTATAGCAACTACTTTTCAGATTGTCCTGGAGGTTTTTGTCCTTTAAATATGGTATGTGCTGGAAATCAGTGTGTTCGGGATCCACTGGCACCACCATGTAAATGAATTAATTTAGATTATTTTATGAAAATTTTTGAGAATTTTGGTCATTCTGTTCCTCACAGTGCTACGATTTATTGTGCTACGATTTGCAATTTAAACTGGTTGTGCTTTAGAGCTAGCATGGTTTTTCTCCTTTTTTTGCACATTGAATGCCAAAATTAATTTCAGCATGCCCAGATGGATGGACACAAAATGATCAATTCAAGGCATGCTATATTATCGTAAGTTGCAAGTCGATGTATTTTATTTTCAGTACTCTCGGTTTACGTTTTCTGCCAAATTAATAAAAAAAAAACTTCAGAACCTTGGCTCATATAATTACATTGGAGCCAATATTGAATGTACTGCTCGAGGAGGGCACGTCACTTCTGTGCATTCACATGCAGAAATGAACTTCATAAATAGTAATTCTATCATATTTTTATGTTATTCATCTCATGTTACTCGAGGTCAAGTGCCTTTATTTTTATTCCAAAATACGCTAAAAGGCATCGTTCATTCGAAAATATAGAAGTGGACTTTAAACATTTCAAATTTAACAAATAATTTTAGGTCTCACTGGTGGTAGTCCATTTTGGATTGGGCTTCGCAAGCACGGTTTCGTTTACCAATGGGATGATGGAACAGCAGTAAATTTTACCAATTATAGAGGGCGGGAACCAGATAATTGTTGCCCCAGAGGAGCTGCTTTTTGTACACTCGTCAATTACATAGGTAGCGCTGGTCAATGGGATGATGCTGGCTGCAATGAGGTTTGGCGTCCACACCAAACAAAAATTGTTTGTAAACGACCACTTGCTTAAAATAATTTGCTAATTTTTTATTTTTCATTTCATTTCAGAAATTCACAATTTATTTCCATTCTTCTGGTTTAAATCTAACTTAATTTTTCTGAATTAATTCAAACTTTAATTTGAAAGTATTGAGAGGGAATAAAAGATATAAAAATAAGCCGTATTACATTCGGATTAATACTGTCATCACGCCATTACAATCGGTACAGCACGCCATTACAGTAAATAATTTTTAACAAGAGTTTGCTGTGTGTTGAAATTTCCTAATCAGTAATCTGTGAATAATTCGTGGCTTATGCGACTTCTCGACGATCCATTAAAACTAATAAAAAACGATGGACACTAATTAATAATGGAAAAGATCAGCAAATGAATAATTTTCATGCACTTGTGAATATCTGAATATCACGAAGAAAGAGGAGAATTGCTGGAAAAGTCATTTCATAAAATATGGAAAAAGAGAGGGATTCAAGAAGCAAAAGCATATAAAAATCGAAGGAAAAATAAAAATACTAGAACATGAAATAATAAAAAAGTCACTATAATTCTGAGAACTGAGAAATAGCTAAATATGGAAAAATAACAAATAACTGGTGATGTAATCTTCATCGGACATGGACCAATTTCTTTCTAACTGATCATTAATCACTGAATTAGGAAGTTTTCCTTTAGTTCATCCACGAATATTTGAAGTAAAATTCATAAAAAGTTCTATGAGTATTTGGGTAGCATTTATGAATAAAATTTTCTTCATTTAACTTAGAGTAAAGCTTATGAAATGGAAAATCGTTTTTTGAATTAGGCACTAAGGCATGTCTTTAGCCAAAATTTTAAGTTTGAATTCGACGAGATATAGAAATCTTTATCCATTTTTATTACTGATTAACTGGCTATCATCACTTATGAGGATTATGAGCTTTTTGTGCATTCTTATTTTCATAAGATTTATTCAAGATTTTTAAAATTCATTTTATTTTACCAATAAAAAGTAAATTTGAAAGGGGGATTATTAAGCTTAAGGAAATACAAATGAACTGTGGGTATGGAGATTTGAATTGTTGCTGGCTTGTTATTCTTTTTTACCTATGTTGAGGTTCTACCTAGCAGTACGAGTATATAGTATATATATAGTATATAGTAGAATATAGTTTTCCAAAAGTCCACGCAGTGCTAGTGATCTACTTCCATAACCAAATGGCTTCGTGGCAAAACTTTACTGATCCGACAGTCCAGCAGAATAAACCAGAAATGATGAGTGCTCTTAGATAAAAACATATGGAATAGAGTTAATGATGGGCAAAAGTTGCATTTCGTATAAATCCTAGTTTAATATGTTGAAGAATTTCTGTCTTTAAAATAAATAAAGAGATTTTGTCGATGGTATTTTTCTGAAAGTGAATAGAAATGGCTCGATAAAATATTTTCTGCTATTCATCTGCAGCTGCATAAATTTCGGTATTAAATAAATTTTCTCAGTAATTTTTTTCACAGTTTCTATTTTCTTAAATAATTCATAAAATATTTACTATCCAAAAGTTTTCAGTATTTAAAATATTTTTTTTTGTTTTAGAATGTAGGCAATTTACACGAAAAAAAATTAAAAGCCTATTAAGGAGCAATATGGTAGAGTGGTTTAGATTATCATTGACTAAAGTACCGTTCAGATTATCATTAAGATTTCAAAATTCAACTTTGGCAGATGTGGGTGTATTATTTAAAAAATGCCATTAATATCGCTAATACTTCTCTATCCCGGAATGATACATTCTAATAGCCAATGGAAGGAATCTTAGTGGAAATAACGAGTGCTAACTTAACCACCTTTTAGATTTCTAACACTAAAAATTTATAAGAAATTGTCTTTATATAGAAAAAATATTCATTTGGTTCAAATAAGTCTATATAGTCTTATTAAGTAAAGTTTAGGGTTTTAGGGCTTACTGCTTTTGACTGCTCCATTGGCTGCTAGTGTGACTAGAAATTTTTACTAAGTAGTCACTCGAAGATGGAAATAAAGGTAGGGCACCGCCTGGAATTTCAGTGAGATTTTTCCCGATGAAAGCCAAGTCCTCGCCTTAACCCACTAATCTGAGCCACTATTCACTCAGCTATTCAATCTTCTGGTTTCACATGAAAATACCACTGATTTTTAACAATTTTAACAATAACAATTTTAAATAATACAATTTTCAACTACTGTGATTACTTTCGATTAGATAAATAAAAAGCTTTTTTTCTTGTTTCCCGTTTTAATACATTCGCATAAATGGTTGAATGCTGGTAAAGTTTATTCACGGATTGTTTTTCAACCATTTAATATAGACAATATACGAATACTAATTAAAGGTTCTTGAAAAAGATTTATCAAAAACAGAGATATTGAACGAAGAGCGAATATTTGCAAATCAGCTGGTGTAATAATATACACATGAACACTGTGTATTCACTAAATATCTGCCTTAACAATAATTGTTTACACACCAGTGGAAATTTTTCCTGGAAAGAAGGCGCAGTATTCTTCCTATTCTTGCTTTTCATATACAAATCGGTTACCTTAGTTCCTTCTTCAATTTTTGTATCTATTTCCATCGACTTTTTCTTGCTGGTGCTACTCATAGAATTGACTTTCTGCAGGTTTCTGGAACTGGAAACAGTGAAAATTGCTGCGATGAATTGTAAAATTTTTAATTTACTTGATGCTCGAAATCGACTTAACCGCCTTAAACTCCTCCTAATCGTGCAGAAAATAAGAAAATTTGTTCAAAATATATTTTTTATTAAGATTATTCATTGTTGTTCAAGAATTGTTCATTTGATTCGAAAAACGAATTTTTTGTTATTGCAATATAGAATTGTCTTTGCATCATGATTAATTACTTAATTAAGTTGCTTTTCAATTTAATAAAAATTAAATTAAATTAATGAATAGAAAATGATCTCATATATATCCACATAAGTGGACAAGAAGAAAATCATTCTAAATCTATTATTATGTTGCAAAATTTATGTAAATATTCTCAAAAATGAGCAAAGCATGATTCAACAGGTCACCAATCTAATGAAGCAAAAGTCACAGAGGTGACGTCCAAATCGATGCGGCTATATAAGACTAGAATTCGAATCGTGGAGGATTAACGACAATGTCAGCTGGAGGATGGCTGCTGTAATTTTATTTTTGTTTTATTTTATTTTGTGGTGTTTACTATTTTGTGTGGTTAATGATATTCTAGATTCTAGATTGTCTAGATTTAAAATAAAAGGCGTAAAAGGTTTAATTACTCAAGTCCAAGGTATAACGAACTATCAATTGATTACGATACTTTTTTAAAGGGAAGAGATATCGAACCTGAATTATCAAGGAAAATAACCCCTTTTTTCGTTATAGTAAATTAATAATTATAACCTTGCGCCAATTATTTTAGCATTTCTCTACGTTTGAATTAAATGAAAATTTTTCGGAATCAAAGACCGTAGAATTACTTTGATGCTGAATGCACTGCTTGCACCTATTACATTTGCACGCAAAAATGAATGCACATGCATAATAATTTCATGTTTTTTATATCAGATGCTTCGGTTGATAAATTGGAATTTATCTTCCGCTCTTATTGCCGTTTTGGACTGAACTAGTTTTGGCTACAAGTGGGACGATGGGATAGCTCGAATTATCGATTCACTGAGCCAGATAGTTCTTATTCATATGGAGAAATCAGTTTTAATACGCACTTTAATATGCTAATTTTAGAATAAAAATAATAAAATGATTAAGTGCAAAATAGAAATAGTTAGAGAGGAGGAAGGCTAAAAGTAATACAGAAAGTAAGCGTAAGATGATGGGCACACAGCATAGCATATTGCTGTTTCAATTAAGGGCAATATAGTGGGGTTCGAATCTCTTCCTTTTAAGAGAATAAATCTCTTGTTAAATTAAAGATGAAATTCGAGTATGCTGCGGTCGCACTTTTATTTCCAAAAGACTTTCTGGCGAATGGTTATCATCCCAATAGATCGACGAGGACAAACCGGAAATGAAATGCTGTTGGGAGAAGATTCTCGATTAGTCCACTTTCAGTTGTTTGACATTCCACGTTTATTCGATTAACCTTATAATATGATTTATTATGCAAAAAAAATTATTATACAAAAATTATATTCTGCTCTCATTTTTGGATTTTATTGTTCCGAAGATTCCTTTTACTCTTCGATAGTAAATTGTTATATTTTTTAATCGTCCTATTTTTTCAACTAATTTTAAATTATACAAAATTTTAACGAATTGTATATTTTTTACAACAACGTTTAACGCTTATTTACTGTACTACTTTTAGCCTTCCTCCTCTCTAACTATTTCTGTTTTGCACTCAATCATTTTATTATTTTTATTCTAAAATTAGCATATTAAAGTGCATATTAAAACTGATTTCCCCATATGAATAAAGAACTATCTGGCTCAGTGAATCGATAATTCGAGCTGTCCCATCGTCCCACTTGTAGCCAAAATTAATTCAGTCCGAAACGGCAACGAGAGCTGAAGATAAATCCCAATTTATCAACTGGAGCATCTGTCATTTGGATATTTAATAAAGGCAGATATTTAAGGCAAATCTATATTTGCATTACTTGACACGGTAAATATATAACTTTTTCCTAAATTATTTGAAGCATCCTCAGGATTCCCTTTTACTTTATTTCGTCCTGAAATTAAATAAAACAAGAATAAAGTCAGTCGGGTTTTCTACCAAATTTTTTTATATAAGAAAGTTTTTAATTCAAGTTTGATTAGAAAATTGATTCCCATTTTTTTAATGATCCATAATGATTCATAAAATTCAGCGATAAATCCGAGTTCTTCGAAATGTGATCTGAATCAGCTTGCCACTTGCGATTTGTAGTTGCTGAAAGTCGGAATATTGTAGCAATATTCACACGTTCGATAAGATATACATTTCGCATGAAGTGCCGACTACTCCGATCTTGATTGTTGCAATATACGCAGCGTCTGTTATTCTTTATCGTGTTTCTAACCAGAAGCCCTTAATAATTTTATATTTCATTCACATTCTTTGATAAATTAATCCTTCACAAAAAGTATTTTATATCATCAATAAATATTTAATAAAAGGGAAATCCAGTAGAAGCAATCGACCTCGACAATCATGCGATCTTGCCTAAGCAGGCAATGATCTAGATCGGTTGCATTTTTGAAATTATCGACATCGCTGTTTAATGCTTAAGTTCGAGGGTTCGAGATTTTCCCGTCGATTTTGGCAAACCTCAGTTCAGTCTGGTTTTTCTTGCAAACGAAGCGACCTTGGCAAAGCATTATTAGTATAAAACTGTTTAAATCGTTTAGTGAAGATTAATGAAAATTGGATAGTTGTACTTTGTATTAAGTTCATTTCAAAATAACAGAAATTAGTTTCGGTCAAAATCGGCCGGTGAACTTGCCCAAAATGAAATTAATTTAATTCATTAAATTCTGCAAATAAAAAATTTCAAAAGAATAAATTGAATAAGAATAAGTTGGACTGAAGTTCCACAGAAATCGACAACCCACAGAATTTAAAAAGTAATAAATTCAGCAGGATTATTTTCCATAAAAATTATTATCTCAACAATGGAATGGAACTATTTGGCGGTATAGCCGAGTTCAGATTACCAGTTGGGAGGCCCCAATAAGACTACTTTAAAAGTCTGGTGGTACCGTCCCATCATCCTAAACATCTATCGGAAAGTGACTTTCTGATAAAAAATCTTTTTAACCAATGAAGCAAGTCAAACGGTATTTGCTTTTATTTATTTACTCGTAAAAAAATATCTTGTTATTGTTATTGATGAAATTTTTTCCTGGAAATCTTTAATGCATCCAAGTGAACAGTTGAAAACTATGCTTCATATTTGTATTTGCACGGCTCTTCTTCAGTTTTATCTGCTCTCCTGTTTTTTTGGCCTGATTTAAGCCTGTTAATTTTTGGAATTTGTCTCCAACTATTTTAACGGAATAAGTAATGCCACTGATATCACAATGACATTTTCAAATTATTTTCATAATTTTCGTTCACAATTTGAATATTGAAGAAATATCCACAATATCCAGCGACACAATTTGTAGAACATTTTCTGCTGATCTTTGTATAATTTCTTCCGTTTTTCCAAAATATTTTTCTAGATTTTAATTTATATTATTGAAATTTTATAATATTAGAAATTAAAATAAGTAAAAAAACAATAGGCATTATGGAAATTGACAAATTTAATTTGGAGTGGCATAAACCGTTAGAGAAAGAAAATTAAGCAAATATTATCTTGCGAATACAAAAGCTTTCAAACTTCCAAATATAAATATGGCGCTCTTTTTCTAGTTGCTTGCTCTGCTGATCACTAGGATAAGGCCTCCTTGACAGGTCACCTAGTTCCATTTATCCCATCTATCCTCAACCCCACCTGGGTTGTAATGAAAAATTTACTATGCTTTAATGACAATTAAAATCCGCGAATGTGTGGATTTGAAAGTCCAACTGCAATAAATTTAAGCTGAAAAAATATCGCATAATCAATCTTTAAATGATTTAATATTTTATATTTTACGTTTATATTACTTATATCATTTAATTATATTTATTTATATAACATCAATCAATCATAATAAAAACAAAAATTTAAATTGACGATAAAATTAACGAATAATTTTATAACGAACGAAACTTCTATCGTACATTTTGGCCTATTTTCTATTTTTCCTTAATTCTACCGAAAAAGAAATCTCTTTAAGCGAAAAATCCATAAACGATTCTATGAGATGTAGTTTCGAACTCAGTTTTCTTCAAAAATATGACTCGAATATTTATTAACTGTAAATCATACTGACAGAATCGGAAGGGAAGAATTATTTAACATGTCTTCCTTGCCAAAGCTTTTTTATTAACCCATCGAAAACGATTATCTAAGTAGAAATTGAGAAGGCATCTTGGAGTATTTTTGGCAATTTCCATCTGAAAATTTCGAAAACCTATTTTCATTATTATCTTTTTTTTATTCATTTTTTTAAAAAATGACTTTTTTCCATAACAGTTGATTAAATTTTTTCTAGATTCACTTTTGATAAAATTTTCTTGGAAGAAAACAAGGTTTTTTTTTAAAAAATCGAAGATTTTGTAAATTTATTAAAGTTGGAAATCTTCCACATGTTTTAAATTATGCTAGAATGTTTCGCACTGAGATTTAAAATCAAGAAAATAGATAAAACAGAAACCAACACCTGCACTTGATGAGCCAAGCAACCAGTTGTTTCACTAGTTATACCGATCGTACTTATCGCGCTTTTAACAAAATTTTCCGGTGATGGAGCAAATAAAGATGGACGAGATTTCTGCAATATATGGAAACCAAATTCCAAAATTTCAAAAGATTTTTAGAAAGAAAGTTGCTAGTTTTTACAGATTTCAAAGTCCAGTAAGAAAAAAATTTTAACTTTATTAGCAATATTAACTTTATTGACCTATTAATTCGTTAATGATAAAACAACAAATTTAACATTTAAATTCAAAAGACCAAAAAAAATTCATTCAAAATTCTCTCACTGTTCATCGATAACCACTACTCAAAGCATACTTAGAAAACGTACCATATAAAAATCTTACTTCAATATAATAAAAAAGTGTCCGGTGCACCAAAATATAAAAATATTAAAAATATTTATCAACGATCCGATAGAAGTACAAACGGATGGCAATACCTAGATTTTTCAATGACAGATGTATTCCTACTAGGTTCTGCATTTCCACCAGTCATTATAATACTTTTCCACCAATAAACCAAAGCCTTGCTTCTCAAGTTTGAACTACAGTCGGCTACTCTCCAATTTCCAGTTCACTAGCCTTTTTTAACTCAATTATTCACTAGCCTTTATCATCTTCGTGGTCACAAGCATCGGAACTATCGACTGTATAATAATATTGGTACCAGCATATTCCCTCCGAAGTGTCGAAGAAAAACACATAACATTAATCTGTAAAAAAATTTATGAATTAGAAGAATAAAATTTAACAAAAACCTTAATACTAATTGGAAACTTTTAGATTTCGATTTGAATTTTTCGATTTGAAAATGAAGCGGGAAGATTAAAGATCCAGTGATTTTTCGACAAAAATGATTATGATTATGGTGAAGAGGATGATTAAAATGATAGCCTTGAAAATGAAGATGAAAAAGAGGCTGAAAATGAAATGGATGGATTCGGCAAAAGTCGAGGCATCATGGTTTCTACTTCTGTCTCTTGAGCCCTGTTATTTAATGTGAAATATAAGTGGTGCTGGAAACTGGGATATATTTCTTTCTCCAAGCAATTCTCTTGCGGAAAGATCTATCTTATCCTAGTGGTCACCTGTGACGCCGGTCAAATAATCAGAGCTGCAAAAGAAAGTAAAAAGGCAAAGAAGAAAAAGGTAGATAAATCGCTCTTGAGAAATTATTCAAGAATACCAATAATGAAGAAGATTGGGTGAATCGAAATTGAAGCCAAAATCATCTTTTTCAAAACCTAGTAACCTTCGCTGCAGAATATGCTGCTAACATAATAGTTTGTAGATATGCAGCCGCTGAAGATACGTTCACAATAATTCCTTTATTCCTTTCAAGCATTTGTGGCAGTACAACGGAACATAGCTGAAAAATCAAAATTATATTTAAAGATTTCTGATCGACCGGACACACATTAAAGTTTATAGCATTCGCATTGAAGAATTTGTCACCTAAAATGTATATTACTATTTAATGCTAACAAGTAATCAAGTGGATAGTGGATTAGATTGTCGTCTTGATATGCAAAAACTTGAATCTTGCTTGACATGTTGAAAAATCCAAGTGGTATTGACGACTCACCTATATTTCTTTAGAAGCAAGTTAACCGCAAAATAAATACTAACCACTTATTACTACTAAAAAAAATTAGAACTTTCCATGCATCTATTCTTTCATTAATTTTCAAATTATTTTATTTATCATTCTATGAAATAAAGTCTGATAAAGTGAAATAAGAAGGATAACTTCATGAAGTATACAAAATTTGGTCACAAAAATTACCAAGACACATGGAAGAGAGTTCACGATATTAACATTTGCGATAGTATTCAAACCTCCATCTACTTTGTGTAAGAGTTCGGGATATTCGTAACTTACTCCAACATTATTTACTGAAAATATCACTAATAAAAAGGCAAGGATCTGCACTGGTTTATAAGCTTTAAGATTTATAAATTATAGGAAAAATGGAGAAATATAAAAATATTTACTTAGGATGCCGATATCCAGGTTTTTTAATTCCGGAAATATTTTTTTTTCATATTCTTCCAGATTTGCTGATGAGAAATCAAAAACAATTACTTGAACCTAAACCATAAATCTTTAAGGCTTCGAGCATCTGATAAAAAATCAAAAAAATATCAAATAGCTTCCTTCGAGTGATATGTGCAAACACTATCGAATCAATCAACTGAATCAAGCTAAGGCTTATATCTTATAAACCAAGATTAAACTCATCTCAACTCCCGTTTCTTCTTGAATTTTTCTCTTTACATCTTCCAATTTGGATTTCGAACGTGCAATAAGCACAATGGAAAAGCCTCGACGTGCAAGTTCAAATGCATATTGTTTGCCAATTCCATCACTGCCACCAGTGACTACTAAAATTATTGCCTTCGCAGTTATTAGTGATAATAGTAAATATGATGATGATTACTTTAATGATTGAAATTTATGGTATTTAACGTGTTTAATAATAAATTATAGTAATATTAAAAATATAATAAAATGAGATAATTAAAATATTGTTCATCATTTTATGGAATAAAATCCATTCATCCGTGTAAAAGAACGAATGAATCACAATAGAAACTCTATCATACTTTTCAATGTCGGTAACTTTCTTCGCAAACTCATTTCTAAAAAGTAGTGAAAACTTTTAAAAAAACAAGTGAAAAAATTGCCTTACCTGCCCATCTGCTACCCGCAGCTTCTAATAAATTAATAGGTTTGGCGATTAGGTACGGATAAATGATTTTATAAAATGATAATAACCATCGATATATAATATATGCGACTGTAGCCCAACCAATAATTTCTATATTTAGGAAAGGCATTACCTCTCGTGTAAAAATAACTCAAAATATTCTGGATGAATGATGAGTTCCTCTGTATGTATCCTATATCAAAAGTCATTTAAATTTGTTCCACTGTCCGTAATGATGGACGGTTTTTGCATCAAATTTTTTTCTTCTAAAAGCACTCATCATTTCTGGTTCATTGCTAGTCTACCTCCATAATAGCACTTTACCAGGAGGTCATTTGTGGACAAAAGTAGAGGAACACTCTGATTTCACATCACTAAAGGACAGGAATCGAAGTTACGATAGTTTAGCACAGTTCAGCCAAAGTTGAATTTTCCAATTTTTTGTCGGAAATTTTAATTGCCTCAATTAAACTAAATGGTAACAATTGAAATTGATTAATTAAACGAAAATGTGAAACATCGATCAAAATCAAAAGCAATTTTATTTTTTCAGTGCTAATGAATGAAACAAAATTTTATTTTTTATTTTAAATCTTATTTTTCTGACCAATTTTTCGAAAAAAGCGATCAAAAATTAGTGAAAAATTTAGCTAATATTATGGAGAAATAAGGTCATTCAGTTCGCAGTAACAGCAAATCATCGCGCCTTTTAAAATATTTTTATTGATATTCTTAATTACATCAATAAAAATATTCTTTTTCTTGAAGTGACGTTTCTATCAGTTCCACTATCTACCAGGTTGGAGAGATACTTATGGATAGAGATCTCCCCCGGCATAAATCGGATCTCTTGCTTAATGATAGCTTTACTGGCATCAGCGAAACAGGAAACGAATCCAAGATGCATTGTCCTTGGGCCACTTGACACTTAAGCCTTTGAATGGCTTTACACGTTATTTAAATATTTAAAAAGTGTAGGAAAGAAAAAGGCTTTTAGAATAAAATGAAACGTGAATAAAATGGTGAGAAAACAACGAACAACTTCATACACATAACCTGCGAATTTCCGATTTATACTATGGACAACATTCTAAGTCTTGTCCCACTTGTTTCGCTATTTTATGTATTATTATATATTCGTGTTTTAGGAAGAAACAGGGTCGTTTGTATCGGAAATAAACCTGATTTTTTGCATTCATTTCGACTGAACTAGATCAACAACAGCTTTTCAATAGTATTTTATTAAACTGTATATAATACGGTCACCAACACCAAAATATATTAATAAATAATAAAAGTAAGAGGTTTGCATCCGCCATTTCTGGTTAGGCAAGCTCCACTGGCTGTTCGCAAACTCGCTAACGATAGAGGTGAGTCTTAAGCTGGATTTTTTAATGATAGGATTGATTCTGTCCGGGCACAACGCAAACCTTGCCACGACGATCTGTGCCATTGTTCGCTCGGCTATCCCTCCTCCCTCACCATCATTTGCAAAGCAATAAACCAACTTGCTTATTGCTTCATTTTTTCTTCGATTAACATCTCGATCCCCTGTAACGTAGAGGACTTCTAAATTATTATTAGCTGGATGGTCGAGTGGTATTTCTCTGATACTTATGGCTAAAGTTAAAAATTTCATTTTTTTTTCTCTTCAAAATATCATTTAAAAAAGACTTGGAAATCGATGAAACGGTGCTAAAAATGGCGCTACGATTGGAACTTTCAGCGAATTCACTTATTGTGACATTTACATCGTTTAAATGAAAATCTGCAGACTCATTCGTTGCTATATAAAACGAACCTCATTCCGCCTTTAAGGCTATCGATTTCATTTCATTCTTGGCTGGATGGTCCACGGTGTTTCTGTGTTGTGTAATAAGATATACAAGTTCGCAAACTGATTGTCACATAAAAACGGAACCACGACTTTCCGATCACCGCCATACTTATTAATTTTACCAAGTTTTTTTCCAGGCTTTTCCATTCTTATTCACTAAACATTGTCTTGGCCAATCATAAACCAAATGCACATTAATAATGGAATGATTTATTTGAATAAATGATAAGATTGACACAATTCATCCATAGAATCCTACTGATTTTTATCCTTCCAAAAAAGATTGTGTGGAAACCACAGTTCCAATATAATTCTAGTATTTATATTTAAGTTTCATATTCAGTAAATCTTTTAATTAACCATGAACAATAAAGATACTACTATAGACAATATAACATTCTTCTTTTCAGTAATGAATAATATCAGAATTGTATAAGAAAAACATCTTTCAAACGCCATAACCATGGCTTACCGATGCTTATCGATCGAATTATTCACTATTTTTGATCACAATGAGAATTAAATCAGTTTCGTCTCTGATTTGCGCGATTTTTGCTATCAAAAGACCATCAAAATAAAAAAAAATTCAAAAATAGAGGAAATATACAAAAAAAGGATTCAAGAAAATCGAATAAGGACAGGAAGACATGTAAAAGGTACAACAGGAGTCGATTCGTCAAGAGAAGACGCGATCTTAAAACATTCAATGGCCTCTTCATGTTGTTTTCCTTCTGCCAAGACAATTCCTAACAAGTGCCAAACGTCTCGATTCAACGGCTCTAGACTGATTATATCTCTGAAAAAACCATTATAGCCATTTAATATTCTTAAAATTCTCAAGACAAGTAATCCAAACAAAACATTCTGAAGTTAGCCGCAAAGTGGTGCAGACATTTTCAGTTAGATTATCAAGACTGCTAAATATTCAAGAAATTGAGCTGTAATATTCAAGCTGAAAGAAATGATTTATAATATAAAGAACTTGGAACATTTTGTCTATTTTTATTATAAAAGTGAATTTCAATACATATATATATATAAGAATTTCAAAATACGAACTTTAACATTTTTTCTGCCATGCGAATATTGCCTTCAGAGCGATAAATGTCAGCTAAATGCCGTAGTGAAGGAATATGAGATGGAGCTATGGCAAGAGCACCGAGAAAAGAAGTTTTGGCGTCAATTCGCAAACGCTCACAAACAAGCGATTCTGAACAGTGCTTGGCTCGAACAGCCAATAAACGACCCTTAATTTAGTGATGCAGATGACTTTTTCAAGAAATTAAAGAATGAAAGAAGCTGAAAACAGTCGAATAAAACTACAGTCTATAAGCAGTAATCTACCTTTAAATAAAGCACTTGATACGAATTGGGAAATATTAAGTAAGCCTCTTCCACACATGATTTAATATCATCAGTCCGACCATTTTCCAAAAATAATTCTACTAATTCCAACCATATATTTGCCTGCAAATATCAGTAACAATGAAAGGAAATTCTAAGCAATAAAGCAATAATGCAAAGAATTAATAAAACTTGTAATTGGAATCGACTAAAAAGAGATGCTGCAGCATTTGATCCCGACAAACCATCCGAAATCGATGAAGGCGCTGCACAACATTCAGAGTTATTCGATATTCCACCAAGAGGTCCATCTGAACAAAGTTATTTCTAGTCCTGTGCCAAGAAATTTTAAGAACATTCGCATTCAAAGAAGACAAAAAATTTACTAATAAAAAATTTAATAGAAATTAATGGTAATAATAATTAATGCAACAAAGATCTTTAGTATTTCGTAAATGGTGGAATGTAGACTAAATAACTGATAAAATTGCAATTAAATCGATCTCGAGAACCTCACTCGGAACAAATTAAGTCCTCTCAAAATTTCTGAAAGCTCAATGAAATAAAAAAAATTTATGATAGTTATAAAAAATTAATATTAATAAAAGAACCATTTAAATCTGTAACACTGCTCGTGACAGTCGCGGAGGATGTAAGTGGCGAAGGCGGTAAAATACCCAATGGAGCAGTAACCATAGGAGCAAGTGGTACCATTGCTTCACGACTGCTCATCGGATGGAACGTACAACCACGCATATCTCGAAGACTACTCTTTACTAAACATCAAAGCATTTACATAAAAATCAAACAAATATATTTGATATAAAAAATATAATATTTAATATAAAAAATAATTCTTTGAAGGGAAAATAAATTAATAAAAAAAAATAAAAATTGGAATTATTGCTAAAATTTTTCGTCGAAAATCAACAACTTTACAAAACTCATTAACTCTTCTCTTAAAATTTTTAAGAATGTTATCATACCTGTTTGAGAAACTACAGTCGTGGAATCATAGATTTCAGGCCGTTTCCAAAAATAAAACATTTCACGAGCTGTGAGAAGTGCATCATCAACGCGACCTTTAAATCTCTTGTGCCTTCCAAATTTGCAAAAAATTCTTAAGATTTTTTTAAAAATTTAACAAAATCAGATCAGAATCGGATAACAGAACAATATCACATAGGAAACTGATAAGGTAACTGATAGGTATTTTTGACTAACCACATTTGGAGTCAAGTTTGATTCTTAAAACGAGAAGCGTGTAATACGAAGGGAACTCGTCGAGAGCATCGACGATTAATTCGAGAGCGGCCTTCAGATCATTTTGCGCAGTAAATATAAGGGCAAGCAACATTATTGCAAATACATTTTCTGGATTCAATTCCAATACTCGTTCACACTCTTCTTTAGCTTTATTCAGATCCCTCACTGCAAAAACTTTTTAACTTTTTTCGAAATTTATATTACTATTCTCCTTTAAATTGTGAAAAAACCGACGTCATCGATTTTCCCTAATTTTAAATGAATCATAACTGTAGAAAAATAAAAAAGGCGAATATCCAAATTTCTTTTAGAAATTTATTTAGAGATATATTTATTTAAAAAAAAACGATTTTTTTTTAAAATTGATAAATTAACCACAAAAATAAAAAACAAAAAAATGAAGCCCCATTTCAAATTTACCATATTTTTTTCCCAATGTATATCACATGAGAATTCATAATAAAATTTTTCTCTTCATAGTGAATTCATCAAAAACCCAAAAAACAGCCTTTCAGCCTTATTGCTAAATCAATTAAATCACAAAACAGAAGATAATATCTAAAATTTACAGTCAATAAAAAGCGAAAAATTGAAAAAAATAAAAAGAAAAAATTCATAAGTAAAGAAATCAACCAATAAAAAAATCTGACAGTTTTCAGAATAAATAGATAATAGCCTCTTAAAATGGACGAAAAAAAACTATTGACAGATTCACGCAAAAAAAGCAGAGATGGAGAATGAACAAATGGAAAATAAAAAATACCAATAGCATATTGGCGAGCACAATAATAATGAGCCATGTCATCATAAGGATCAAGCGATATTGCCTTTTCGAACAGCGACAAAGCTTTTTTATGCATTTCTTTGCGACGTTTGAAATGTAATATAGTTTCAGCTTTAAGACTAAATATTAATGCATATTGAATGTGAAAAGCGATATATAATTGATAAATTAACCACAAAAATAAAAAACAAAAAAATGAAGCCCCATTTCAAATTTACCATATTTTTTTCCCAATGTATATCACATGAGAATTCATAATAAAATTTTTCTCTTCATAATGAATTCATCAAAAACCCAAAAAACAGCCTTTCAGCCTTATTGCTAAATCAATTAAATCACAAAACAGAAGATAATATCTAAAATTTACAGTCAATAAAAAGCGAAAAATTGAAAAAAATGCAAAGAAAAAATTCATAAGTAAAGAAATCAACCAATAAAAAAATCTGACAGTTTCCAGACAGTAAGAAAAAATTTTTTTTATCGACAACTACTTAAAAAAATAAAGATAGGACAACCTTGTTGAAATGGCATATAATAAATGACATCGGCCAGACAACCAAGTTTCTTCCGACAATCTGACAGCATTCTCCGAATATTTCATAGCTACAAAAATTTTATTATTCGTTTTTGATAATTTTAAAAAATTTAAAACGTTTTAAAATTGGAATAAATCTTATCCGCACCAAAAATTTTCAAGTTTTTTAGATTACCAAAAAATTCAAAAACCTTCACTAAAATCCCCAATGCGTTCAATTTCAGTCAAAGCAACAAGCATGTGTTGCAATAATGAGTTGCTATCACTTTCGCCAAGTCCTATACAGTGATTTAAAATACGAGATGCTCGAATCCATCGTCCATGACATAGCAATGTCAGTGCAAATTGAAACCTGAAATAGGTAAACTAGCAAGCATTAAAACTTTGTCTCCATTCATCTTTATAAAGATTTGTTTAATGATTACAGAATTAAAAAATAAATCATTCCATAAAACATAACTACCAAATATATTTGTCCTCATTTGCAAACTTCATAGATCTTTCATATACATTTGCCAGTAATTCATATTGTCGCAAAGTTGAAAGTACCTAAAATAATACATTAACAATATATTGGCTCAAATTCCACATATTTGCCACTATCATCGAGTGAAATAAAATAAAAGGCTAAATATTAGAAAGTAAGAAGGAGTACTAAACCAAAAAAATATCAGAACACATACTAAAGTAAGCAGATTCTGTACGGATCTGGCATTTTGAAGTGAATGAGAGCGATTGCCAGTTATTTCATCCATCTGGCTTAATACAATATCCTTCGTGGAAAGTACCTTGAATTTGCGTTAAACAGTGAAAAAAATAGATATGAAGATGGAATAAGTGACTATTCCTGGCTAGGCAAACACTTCTCTATTAGTAAGCTAAGAAATATTTGCCAATAAAACATTTGGCTATAAAAGTAAAGATGGGACTAGCTATCGGAATTTTTTAAAGACAGGTTTATACCTAAAACAAAACGAAAGTGCGAGTTTTAATGGCTTAATAGTCGGAGCAATAATCACTTGGCCATCTCTGAAAATAGGACTTACCTCAGAAATAAAAAGTAGGAGAAGAATTTCTTCTAAACGAGATGCTGGTGCAAAATAGCTTCTATTAGAACCTGTATAAAATCTGCAAATCAAATCACAATAATATTTAAGTCGAAAATATTTGTAAATTTATCAGCCACTGATAAGAGTATAAGTACCTATTAAAGAATAGAAAATGGGAAATTTAAAAATTAATTTTTGTAAAGAAAAAATTTTAAACCACCGGAGACTCTGAGATTTTGAATGAACAGATTGTGAATTCACATACTCCGAGTCAGGCATTCCACGAATGAGCACTTCAGCTAATTGTCGACTAAGGCTGCAAGGAACAACATTTTTAAATTCAACTTTAATTATTCGCATTCTTCACCAATTTATAACCAACTATAAATAAAAAGCCAACCGTTGCTGTAACTTTTCACCAACTATTTTATCGCCTAACGAAGTCATTATTTTTCGATACCATTCAATACCTTCAAGATCCCACGGTCTATCGCATAGACTTCGGCGCAAATGTAAAAGAGGAACACGTTCCAATGTTGATTCCAGAAGTTCCCCTAAATTCATAAACGTAAAAGCCACAAAATTTTACAATTATTAGCTAGTAATAATACAGTTATTACCATTAGATATGTCGATTTTCATGTCAAGAAATTTAATCTAAGATTTTAGTACTGGAAATTAAAAAATTAAATGAAAATATTCTTGCCCATTTTATCAATTGAATGCCTGCCACTAGCTCCATTTGCGGATGTAGGTAGATTTATAGAAGTAATCCCTGAAAAATTTTTGAATAAGTAAATACGGTAGATATCGAATGCGCAAAAATTTAAACAAACTTGAGCTAGCATTAATTGATTTTTCAAGTTCCTGAACATATGAAATAGTTAGCTCAGCAGATTTCTCAAAACAAAACAATGCGCGCAACTGAGTTTCTGATGGTTTGTTCATATAGCACATTGAAGCTTCCAACGAAAATCCTAAAATGAAGTTGAAAATGATGAAAAAAATACGAAAGAATCTTTAAAAAAATTTTGGAAATTTAAAAGACGAAATAAAATATTCTTTGAAACAGTACTTTATGAGTAAACAGAGGCTAGTAAAACAGTCTTAAAATTCTCAATTTTTTCTTTTAAAAGAAAAGCGATTTATTTAACTTTTGTACAAATAAAGTAACAAAGTGGAATAGACATCACCTTTAACAGCATATGCTTCTGCAACTAAACGAAGAGCACGAAGTGTAACAAACGGAGTTTCAGCGAAATCTAGACGAGATTTTTCGACATCCTTAAGCGCTTTTTTGTAGTCAGCACTATAACAGATTCAAGTAATCCTGAAATAAAATGGCCGCGAAAAAGCTTTTTAGTAAACTCCACCAACCCATTAAGGAAAGAAAATAAACTGTAATAAAAAAAAAAGATTATTGTACCAATAATAATGAAGCTTAGCGAGCAATAAATTTGCCTCAAGGATGATCGTCGTTTCAAACTCATTAGAACTAACAGCTTTGTTCAAAAGTATTTCAGAGCATAATAATTCTTCTAAATTCGCGCTTTTTGGCTCTAAAAAATCTGAAAACAAAGAACATAAAATAAATTTATATTCACAACTCCTCGCCTAAATAGCCTATCGAAATGCCATATCTCCCATCCTCGCTTCCGTGATTGGTCCAAAAAATCTAAACCAAAAATTTCCTTAATTTCACCTAACTTCAGTAAAAATTTCTTGCTTAACTCAACTGACTGAAATTTAGCCTTACTTTAAGGAATGTAAACCCAACTAATGATGGCTAAAAACATATTGACATTTTGATACGATTCTACCAACATAATTTAATAGATCATTCAACAAGATACATCAAGGATATATTGTCAATAAAAATGAGATAAAGATATAGACATAGATGATATAGATATAGATGATATAGACAGATATATACCTCCATGCTTTTCGACAAAAAATTCCAGAATTAGCTCTCCTTCTATGAGATCTGCGAAATTTTCCATACCACTATTTTTTGAACGAATCGCTGGTAGCAAATCCATTAAACGCTTCCAATTACATTCTGAGCGACAGCGATCTACCTCAGATTCCAATCTGCTACCTTTCAATTTCGAAGACATCTCTTAGTTTCTTGAATGACTCTACATATTTATCATTTAATTAATTCAAACGATTCAACATTTATACAATACTTACTAAAATATTAAAATTTTCAGTTACATAGATAATCTTAACTATAATTTTTAAAGAACAGAAAAGTCTTGTAATAAAATAATATTTGATATTTTCTAGTGGGATATATAAGGAATAAAAGATAAAACGGAAGTTTAATAAAAATAAAGGGTTATATAAACCGCAGTGACCAATAACTTGAAATATTTCAATTAGTTTATTATTTCGAATTAATAAACATTAATGGATTAAATACTAAATAATAACATTGATTTATGGCACATCATAACAACATTCCAGATAAAAACAAAAAGTAGTAATCGAATTTCGGATCCAAAATAATAAAATTAAATCCTAATGTTCATTAGAAATTTTGAAAATTCAAATATGCAAAATACGAAAAAACATATGACTGCCAATTAAAATACCTATGCAAATAAAATTCCGGAATTAACAAAGAATCAATATACTCATTAACGATTCTTTTTAGCAATACATTTCTTATTTAATGCCTCAGAACTTTTGCCCACAATATAGTTCAACAAAAATGTTGGCAAATTCATAAACATTTCTATCTGTAAATGATTACTGATTTAACACAAGATATCTCTAGTGCATTAGCGCAATTTATGCTGCAAAATTATTTATGCAAGAGGAAAGATAAAGAAAGTGACTTATCTCAATTAATGGCATATAGAATTTATGTAATTTATTTTCTTTTATATTATTTATTCCCTATTATGCTATAAAAAAGTAATATAACATATCTATTCTCTGAGGATTCAATGATCATGCTCAGTCAGTATGCAATGAAAAAATGCTCAATTTTCTTATTTCACTGGCTATTAATATGAGAAAAAATTTTTGCCAGAATTTGATCGAAAATCACCTGGGTTTTTTAATGGCAGATTTAATTCTGCTGGAAGGTTCGAACTTCACTCAAATTATATAGTCAATCTAGCCAATTTCATCTAGTCAATTTTTTAAGAATATTAAATTTTATTGTGGAAAAAATCATTTTAGAAAATTTTGCCACATTTTTGGATGAAATAAATATTAAAAAAAAGAATAATGAAAACAAAAATAATTACAAAAAAACCTGGATTTGATGGGCCAAAAAACCAGTCGTCTCATCGACGTGCCCAATCGTACGCAATGTACTTTTTACAAACCTTTCCGGAGTTGGAATGAAGAATGATGGATGCTTTATCTAAAAAAAAATATTTTTGTCCTTCTTCGCCATTTATCGGAATTTATTCATGAATTTATTTTTTATTAGCTTATTACAGATAAAAACTTATTAATACAAACTTTCGACATTTTAGTAGTAATAAACATAGGACTGATTAACTGTATAATAATATTGTACGCCGCATATTCCTTTCGAATAACTGAGGTAAAACTAGCTGTATGTTGCTGAAATTTTAAATGGAATTAAGCTTAGGTACCAATTAAGTGAATTTAGGTAGCTTTCTACTTTACAATATTTTCTAGCAATTTTCTAGCCAATTTACATATAAAAAACTTAGAAGATTATCAATAAAAAATTTATGGAGAAAAAAGCAAAAAGGAAGAAGATAAAAAAGTACATATGAAAAATATATCAAAAATATAAAAAAAACGAAACTGAATAAAACATTTCTGGTCATTATCCCACCATAAAAATTTTAAATAGAATTTCCCTCACAGTAATCTTCTATCAAAAAATTTTGGATATAATCTATCCAGAAAGCAGCTAAATCTTAAATTTATATTCATTAACAATTATCTGCTATCAAAAAATTTTCTTACCTTAGCAGCTACGTATGCTGCAAACATTTTGCTATTTAAATAAGCAATAGAAGATGAAACATTAACAATAATACCCTTATTTCGTTTAACCATTTGAGACAATACCCTTGAACAAAGCTTAAAAAAAAACTAAAATTTTGCTAATGAAATTGAAAATTAATGAAATTAATAGATACAAAAAAAATAATATTCGGTAAAACCAAAAAGTTAAACGATTTCATTAAATAAAAAAACCAAATTTCACTATTCAATGAATAAAAAACAATACCAAAGTACATGGAAGAGTATTAACGATGTTGATATCGGCAATTCTACCAGCTCCTCCTTCTATTTTATGAAGAATTTCAGGAAATTCATAGCTAACACCAACATTGTTAACTAAAAAATATATCCAATATCTTCAAACAAATTCAAAAAATGAAATTAATTGAGAATGAAACGACTTACTCAGAATACCGACATCCAACCTATCCAGTTCATTAAATATTGTTTTTTGATATTCATTAACGTCTGTACAAGAAAAATCAAAAACAATCGTTTTTACCTAAATTTTTAAAAAAATTAGAACAATAGATCGAGGTATTATTCTGAATCACTATTTTCAAAATAATGAAAATAATAAATTCCTATGAGATTTTGGACTGACTGAGATTTCAGCAATAAATAATAAATGAATTTATGAAGATGCAAATGAATTTGAGGAATTTAAAGAAACTTTAAACTTTAGTAAATTTCAGTTTCATTATCAGGATAAAAAATGGAAATTATTTCAATTATCAGAATAAACAATAGTTATTGAGCCTAAAAAAAAAGAATTCGCAACAACTGATAATAAAACTATTTACATATTTTCATCTTATGCGATAGCTAATTATTAAAGGTTATAAATAAATAAATAAATAAATAGTGAAAAGAATAATTAAAAACACTGATATAAAAAGTAACAGCACACGTATTTTTCTTCTCTTTTCATAAATTTTTTTAAGATTTTAATGTTATCTAATTTATGTCTTTAGGGTTTAAGACGGACTTATGATGCTGTGTCCTCAAAGGTAGGTGTGGATTCAAATTATATTAATGAAAGAACGGATTCACATTTGTGCATATTTTCATATTTCCGTGAATTCTATTGGATTTTAGTATATCATTATAATCGCTATCTATCTGTATCTGTCTATCTATATCCGTTTTGTACATATCTATATGTTATATCATTTATATCATCTATATCTGAATATCTTTGTAATTTTGTTGAAAAAAATGAAAAAAATTTTTATAACTTTTATAATAACTTTAACTTTTAACTTTTTTGCCAAATAAAGTTTATCGATAAAGCAACGCTAGCTTCAACTAAATGAAAATGAACATCAAAAAATTCTAATTCGTAACAAAAAAATACAAATTATTAAACATAAAATTTTTTTGGATGAAAATGATAAATAATGAATTTTCAAAAAATTACCATCTTAAAAACCTAATTTTTTTATTAATTTATGTGATATAGTATCCAGGGTCTTTGGGAACAATATAAAAATCCTAAGGCGATGAAGATGAAAAAATGCTTGTTTCTCTTGTTAGGCATCGATGAGTAAAAAGGTTTCAGGTTGAGGGAAGGAAAAGGTTTACAGCAGCAGGGAACCTTAGCGTCTCGATTATCTTGCTTAAATCGTATGTTGGAAAATCCTTTCCCCTTCTCTTTTCTTTTTCACCTTCATTCTGTCACTATTTCCTCATCAACTTATGATTGCATGATTTCTTTCAATTTCTTTTCATGGATTGTTTCCCTACAAGTAAATGATAGTCGCTACAGATCAGATAAGTGAAAAACACGAAACGATTTTTAGATTTTTTCTTCTTATTTATAGGATTCTAAGGTTAGACCCTAGGTCTAAGTACATTTTAGAGATGGAAACTGGAAGAATCTGGCCTTCGGGTCCTGGAGTCCAACAGCTCATTTTTGCAATCAAAATTTTCTCTTTTCCCATCTTCTACTCTTTCTTCACCTTTTTTCTTTCTCTTACGAAAAGATTAATTTTGGCATCGCAATAAATTAATAAAAATTAATAATTTGGCATTCGATAAGACTATGCCAGAACATAAAATATAACAAAATATAATAAAAACATGGAAGTAAAAAAAGATACTTCGACTCCACTTTCTTCAATTAGCTGTTTAGTTTCATCGAGTTTTGACTTCGAACGAGCGATAAGTAAAATTGAAAATCCTTTCCGTGCTAACTGTGATGCAAATTGTTTGCCAATTCCATCAGTACTGCCAGTTACAACTGAATTCTTACCTTCTTATTTTTAATAAAATTTCGGGAACATTGATTATTTATAAAATATCCTACATCTGCACACATCAACAGCTTTAACTTATTGACTTAACTTATTAACTTATTAATATTAACTTTAGAACAAATACAAATCATCAATGAAGTAAACGAATTAAGAAAAAAATATTACCTGCCCATTTCCCTCCAGCAGCTTCTGCTAAATTGATCGGCTTCGCGATGATGTAAGGATAAACAATCTTATAAACTGACAATGCTATTTTGTATATGAAAAAAAGAATAGCTATCCAACCGATGACGCATATACACATTTCTAACCTTAATTTCTATATACACAATATTATTTAGCACAAATTTTGCTGAGAAACATTTTTTAACTTATCAATTAACATCAACTAATTATCAAAAAACACAACACAAATTTAACTTTTAATAATGATTCAATACGATTATTTCAATGTTTAAAAAAGTTATACTAAATTTTAAGATATCCGATGAAAAAAAATTTAATAAAAACCATAAGTTTTAATGATATAGTGAGATGATATAATCCAAAATGGTAACAATAACAGAATCCATATACTTCATCAAACTATTTTATTCAAAATTTTCTGATGAACCAAAATCTGAATTAAAAAAAAAAAAATTTAATCAACATCCATATCATCTTCCATTTTTGATTCATTCTCTATTGTTGGTTCTTTCTTTTGCTCTTGTGACTGAAGAAAACTTTCGTTCGTTTCTTCTTCAGCCGCCTCCTTTTCAATTTGTACATCTTCAAAAAGGCAAATCAATTTCATGGAAAAAATCAGCAGATTGCCAAGCTTTTTCAGAAAAATTCTCAAAATTCAATTTTTAAAAAGAGGATTAGACATAAATAATGAACAATGTTATTTATTGAACAGAAATATATCTAGCTGATTATTAGGGTGAGGATTTTCATCAAACTTTCGGATTGAAATATAAAATTTCTCAGCACCATCCCTCCATTATTTTAAATTATAGTCAAATCCATCAAAGATCCAAATTCAAATAAAGATCACATTTGATCTTTAATCAACCAGTGAATATAAAATATTAAATATTAAGCCAAGCAAGCATTCAAGCAGAGGATTATAATAAACAGATGGTGTATAAACCTTTGGAAGATTCTTTAGAAGATGGTCTTTGATTTTTTCGTTGCGCTTCAGTCAATTTTTTCGAAAAATGAGCCAAATCTGAAAATCTCCACATTAAAAATTGTAAAATTCTTGATTAACGTTTATCTTGTATATATGCATATCTTCAAAAATTAACCTCCACTTTTTGCTGCATTTGTTACTTCTGGTGGCAAACCAAACTGCTGCAAGACTGGTGCCAACTGACCGGTTTGTAGTGCATGGCCAAATATATCTACTGCTTGGCGAAACTGGGGTGTGCGGATAGTTTTTTCCAATTCCTCGTGAACATTAAGCATTCCCTCCTTTAAAAATGATTGAAATAATGGAAAAAAAATTGTTTTCAAAAAATTTAAAATTATAGGAAGTTAAAAAAGATTGCCTGTTCTGGCAAATGAGGAATCAACTGATCAGCATTATTACGCACTGTCTCAATAATATTATCCCCAGATAAAACATCGGATAGTTCAACATTAGCTGCTGCTGCGAAAAGAGGAACAAATTATAAACTATAAATCTCTTGCAAATTTAAAAAAGTAGAAAAATAGTATTGAAAAAAATAGAAAAAAATAGTAATAGTATTTACAAATACTCAAATTAAAATAAATTAACCCAACTATTTCTCTGTAATAAAATTAAGAAATTTTGCATCTTTTCAAAATTTCATCAAATCCCCACACTTGAAAAACCCAAACAAAGTAAAATAAATCACAAAACATCTGATAAGCCAACTCTGTCGCTCAGAAGTTCCACTAGGTTTCATATTTGCAATAATCTGTCTCAACTGTGACAATTCAATTTTGGAACTTGCATTGGTCGTCGAACCATTTGATGGTGTATTTGATGGGGTTACAACAGATGTAACTGTATCTTCTCCCCTAAAAAAACTTTGATCGTCCATTAACTAAATGACCAAAAACCAATTTGAAACTTGACAAATATTTACGAAAATCGCACAGGAACATACCAGGTTTTTTTTGTACTTTTTCATTCGATCCTAGATTTTTCGTATTTTTTTAAACTCGTTAAAATCGAAAACAAAATTCATAATCAGAAAACAACTGAATTTAGATATTTCAGATTTATCAAATCGGAATGAAAATAAAAAATAAAGAACGTTGCTGTTCCAGAACCAGCAGACATCAAATTAGATGAATCAGCATTAGAACTTTGCCCCGAATGGTTCATAAGTGAAAGAAGTTGCATCAATTGACTCTGATCGAGATTACCCAACGCTCCCAAATCTCCATCAACACCAGAACCACTCAAAGCTGCAAGTGAGCCAAATGTCGATCCAGCACTTCGTTCTGAACTACCTCGGCCGCTGGCTCGAGAAGTTGGTGGATTATTAAGAATATCATTCACCTAAAAAATCAAAATAAAACCGGGACATATATATTTCATTAATATTTTCCAGAATTAATGGTTTCAATGAATATTCTGGGACTCCTTCATTCCTTTCATACAGACATTTTCAGATTTCAAGAGATGTAAATATAAAAGAGATATTAAAAAAAGCAGCAAAAATAAAATAATAAATAAAAACAGTAAATGCGAAATAAAATAATTCGTAAACACCTTTTTACAATTTTCTTCATCTTTATCGTTTTTGCCATCTTGCATCCAATATACACGACGCTCATCAGTGCTTTTGAATTTTAACATATATACACGCCCATCAGAACATTCTTTTACATGAACAAATTCTGTATCACCAGGGAATATTATCAAATCCTTAAAGAAAAGGATTCCAAATTTCAAAATATCAATTTTAATTATTATTATTATTATTATTTAATTGAATTTATAACAAATTGCAAAAATCATTTGCTTATTTCGGAATAGGATGGCTTAGAGGGTGGTTGGTCGCCAATCTGCGGCGCCAATACTAAAGTTCTATTCTCCGCAGGAGTAAACCATCCAAAAATTCGCGTGATGCGGGCGATTCACCTGTATTTTAATCGCCAAGGAATTCTCTGGCATACTTGTCCAGTTGACAAGCCAGCGGAACGAGTTTAGCCATAATGGTGAAAACTCTTTTAAAAAAAATCATTTGCTTATTTAGCTTTGGAGTTATGAAGTAAATCCAAAATAAAATGATAAAACAGAAGGTCGATGAAAAAATTAGAAAATTAACAAACATCAGCCACGGCTCCAGTCTCACGATTACGCCAACAAAAGTGCATTAACTGATCACTCGATTGCTTTATGAATATCGTTCCCTTCGTCTTATCGGCGACGATTTTTCGCTTATCAGCAGTTGAACCGGCATGAATCAACGAGCGACCAGCCTATAAATTCATTCAAATGCGAAATGCGAGAGAAAAGAAAGCCAACTTTTCCTTCAAAATGACCTAAACAAGTTTTTTTCTTAATTAAAATTCTCAATTTAAATCGAAGAGAAAAAATTCTTATAATTAATAAAACCGAATTCAACCTTGAATTCAACCAAATAACCATTATTTGACTGATTTTGGCGCGGAGCAAACATTACGTTCATTTTATTTCGAAATAAATAAGCGTTAAATAAAAAGTGCAACGACAAATTTCCACTAAAAAAAAATTGTAGAAATATTTACAAAAATCAAAAATCTGGCACTATTAAAATAAACGCCTTTTATAAAAATATTTGAATTACAACGGAGAGTGAAAATAAAACTGGAATTAACTTGTTTATGGAAATGAAAAACTAGCCGATGACTAACATTTGATCATTTTTTACGTTAACAACTTCATAAATAGTCTCTGCAAAAAAAGCAGACAGTGGGAAAAACCACAGAAGAGGGTACCTGTCGGGAAACATCTCAGAATATAAGAAATTCCTGCGGCAAAAAAGACCATCGATTTGTTTTCCAATAAAATCCCTATCTATCTATCAGCGGAATTAATTCTTCGAGTTCCTCAATGCAAGCATCAATTCATATGCGAAATCATCGAGAGAAAAGAAAGCCAACTTTTCCTTCAAAATGATCTAAACCAGGCGCAAATAAATTTTAGAAATTAATTTCACCTCCACCGAAGATCTTCAACGAGCCCCTCCCCTCTCCAAATTGAAGCATCCCAACTAAATATGACAACTGGATAAAATGTTGACTCCATTCACCATTAATCGATGCCGTCTGCTCTTTATATACCATTCCAACGTACGACTTTTAACATTTGGACGATTTTTAGTAATTCTTCGATAGGACCCTTGGCATCCGGCATCTTCCCGCTGACAGCCGAGTGTCGTATGCGCGAACGGATGCTTACAACTAAATTTCGCTCGTGCGACTAAAGCAGATTTCCTGAATCGGAGAGTTCCGGGAAACAAAAGAGCAAATACTAACGGAAATTAGTCAGTATAGAAGAAAACAAAAATCTCCTCACATATTGACATTAAGTTAAGGAATACTTTATTTGTTTACCAATATTCATACATTAACAATTTTTTATTGAAGGGAACAAAAGCATTTAGCAAAAGGTAAAAAGTAAAGTGCAAAGTGCCCGGCACTTCTCGGTTATATGGCCAGCAGCGTATATTGCGCACTCTTCAAGGATTCTTTCCTACCGTATTCTTATTTTCTTATCGATAAGTTCTTCCCCACCATAATTTTATTTTTTATCGATAAGTTCTCTCCCACCACATTCTTATTTTCTTATCGAATTTAGCTGCGTTCCACTTGTATAGCCAAGAAGTGCCTTTTGATTCAACATTTAGTGATGCATTCTATGCATTTTATAACAATTTTGGGTAATCTTCACACAAATAACTTAATATTTATACAATAATCTTCAATAAAATCACAATCTTCATTATTATATCATATATCATAATGGAAAACATCGTTATTCATACAATGTGAAAATAGTTGGAATTATATTTCTCTATTTACTGATTAGATTTTTCGGAAGTCTGATTATTCAAATGTTTTAAAACCGATTTTCAAAAATATTTAAAAACTTGACAGGAAATATAGTGATTCTATTGAATAAAAAGTTATCAAAAATGTTTTATTCATGAATATTTTTTACATTGAAAGAGTAAAAAATGAATAATTAATGTTCACCATATGTAGTTAGGTTCACTCCAGCGGCTGATGGTATGATAAGATAAGATAGGAAACACGTTAGAGATTTAATCGAAAGCAAAGTCAGAGTCTGATGCTAGACAATAGTCTAAGTGATATTATGCGACAGGCCGACTTAAGCCGACTTCTCAAATATTTTATAGAATCTTAACTTCCTTTTAATCTTGGCTGGTGTTAACGCAAAGGCATGAAAAACCTATACAATTTCCACTCTTTTAGAGAACTATAAATATACATTTTAAGTTATAGACCAACTAGTCCAATAAGTGTATGCTATCATTTGTTGAAAGAGACCTAAATGTAAGAAACTGTGTGGATTTCTCGAGGCTATTTAACACAGCATAAAATGCAATAAAATCTCACAATTGCTAAATTTTTATTATTGGACTCGAACCACAGACCATACATACAATCCCTTCTATGATTCTGCCAAAGATTTCGAGACTTCGTGATAGATATATCACGGAGGAAATTATCGAAATTTTTGAACTAAATTCAAATTTAACCAAATTCAAGTGCATAGAAAAGTAATTGAAATCTAATTAAGACTGAGCGATAGCAAGCAATACGCACTTATAACTATAATTATTCTACAATTCCAGCTAAATTTGGGGTTCCTCAAAATAGTTATATTGGTCAGTAGTCGTCAAACCTTTTTTCTATGGGCTCCCAGTGCGATATTTTCAAGTATATCTACCTACTAAATACCGCCCTCTATCTGGTTATTCTGTGCTTTCAATCATAAAGAATATCACTAAAAGAACATGCAGTGCTAAAATCTTTAATTAAATTTCGTTTATATATTCCACTTTATCCTAATTCTTTAGTAATGTTCTTTCGACACTTCCAATTCTTCCAAATAAGTTCTTCCCTAAAAATTTGTTTAAAACCTGTTGTTATTCTCCATTTTCCTGAAAATCTTCTATTAATGCACTATCAAAGACCTTTTTTATTCAAATCATATCATAAAATCTCTTTAAATTCTCTTATACAATATTTTTTTTGTAAGACCATCCTATGGTGCTCTAACAATTGCCAAATCCTGCCTGAAAACTCATCAGATACTTGTAAAATCTCGATCCATCATGTTGAAACTCTGATATCTCCCAGAATCTACCATTTTTCGTTAAATATATCCTCTCAAATATTTTAAAAATCCCACTATGCTCTTTTGCCATAATCATCATTTTGAACTTCGTTATTCTGCTTTAATTTTTCAACAACTGCTATTATCATGTTCACATTTTTTACCTTAATATCTGATCAAAGCTAACAATATATGGTCGCGAATTACAAAATCATTAAAACATCACCATGAATGACGGAGATATTGAAAGAATGTGGGCAAGATTGGAAGACTGTAGGGATTTGGTGGGGGAAAACAGCGTATCAGCAGGTAATGAAGTGTTTCCGACCAAGGTTTGAAAATCAGGCTTATCTGTCCATAAGATAGATCTTTGACTAGTAAACAATAAATAAATGAAATAAAAATTTTATGAACAAAAGTGATAAAATGGCGAAGTACTTTGCACCAGCAGCATTATTATATTCAAAATAAGATTTAAATTAAAAATTCAAAAATTCTGGGTTTTAATCATGTCAAGAATCGAACGAATATTAGCATTAAGATTTGGACGTGAACAAAATTCAAAAAATTCTTTTGAAGATAAAACTTTTGATTTCCTTGCCAAATGTATGTGAAATCTCAATATCTTTTCATCAAAAACTGTTTCATCCTCGTTAAGCATCTGAAGCTCAATTCAATTCCAGTTTTTTACTCCATAAATTAGAAATATTTATTCCAGTCAAATATTTATTCCAGTCAAACAATAGTAATTAAACTTTATGTGATTTTACTGATAGTAAAAAAACCATAATAAAAAGAACCTCTAAAGCTGACAAGAAATTTAACGGAACAGATGAGTCCCAATCTGCATAGAGTATTGTTGTGATTCCATGCATAGAATTTTGAGGAGATCCACCCATTATGCAATCATAAAAAACGAGGTGGGCAAAAGTCTAAAATTTGATAACTTAAAAAAAATGGTCGATTGCTAATTTTTTAAAATTTAAATGCATTTGTGCCAATTTCATTTGTACTATTAAATAAAATATTCTAAGAAGAAATATTTTAAGAAATATTTAAGTATTAATTAAGAAATAATATTTTTCATTCAATCTTTTTTTGGATTTTTAAATTCCAATTTAGTTATTAATAATTATTAAGAAATATTTAATCAAATTCTATAAATATTTAATATTGAATTGAAAAAAATACTAAACGGCAAAATATAAATTAGAGAATTTCGCCTTAGATATGATGTCAAACTAGGCGCGTGTGGAAGAATCTTATCATTTTTTTGCTCTTTTTTTATCCTTTCCTAAAACTTATTATGCTAAAACCTATAAAAAATGCCAAGAACGAAGTTGTGGAATAGCCTGAAGGAAAAGAGTAAACAGAATACGGAAAAATATATAATATTACTTCAAAGAGCACCAAAAAAAACTGAAGTACCAGAAAATAAAAATTTACTGAAGAAGCAAATTGTTTGGCGACTGCGGGAGTTTCTTTAATGAAAACGATAATTCTTGATGAGCGTCGACCAGTAAGCCAGCTAGTTAGCACAGTTATTAACTCTTTCTTCAAGGCTTCCTTTGAAACTGAATAAGCAATAAAGTAAGAAACGAATTCAGGAGCTTCATCGGCGAGTGGAATTAAATATGAATGCTAAAACTGTTATTTCCTTTGAAAATTTTAAAATGAATTGAAATCCACTATTTAAATAACACGATAGAATCGAAATATGCGTTGATTATGTCAAAAATTCAACAAGAAATTTCTAGAAAAGACAATTTTTCCGATATTTGGCATGAAGCATAATGTCAAAAAATTTTTTAATGATATTTCCACTTCGATAAACAAATATTTCATTGCAAATTATTTAAGGGTCCTTATGAAATAGTAATTCTCTCGTTTGACTAATTGCTTATTTTTCTTCTAACTGACTTTAATAATCTTGAAGCTCTTTGACAGAAATCTCAAGGAATATCAAAAGGAATCTTACGCTCAAGGAATATTTTTTAAATAAATCAAAATCAAAAATGAAAAAAACGAAATCCAAAAAATTTGGTAGAAGAAAATACCAAGTTCCACTCGGATGGCATCATGACGAAATGATCAGTAAGGTAGGAAATGAATTGTTGAGCGTAAGATTTTGCGCTACCAATCTAAAATTAAAGGAATTTAACCAAAAACACGAAGAATATAGATGAATGAAAAAAAACTAAAAAAAAATTATCACATTTATATCTTTCATAAAATCATAATTTTCAGAATCATATTCACAAAATTATATAAGAATTTCAGCATTTATGCAATTACTAAAATTTAATGTGAAATTTGTATAAAAATGCCAAATTTATTTCATGTATAATTATTCTTCTTTCATTTAAAGCTTACTTTATGAAGCCATTGAGAGACATGATTAAGAAGAAGATAGCATGGATATTGTATCGCCAATGAGCACAATTTTATAAGTAATGATATCCTCGCTTCGTGTAATAATGATTCTCCTTCTCGGCCACAAAAAACAGTCTCGAAAAATAAATACTGGTGACCACGAGCTATGCTTTCCTTTTCCTATAAAATATTTCAGTCATTAACATTCATAAATAATTTTATATCTATTCAAATAATGAAGGTATGCTCAAAAATGAGCAGAATCGATTGAAGACCAACAAAAGCGCGGCTGCGGTCGCCATTTTGTATTGATTCTTCTCCTTTACACAATTTATTGTTTCATTTGTAGTGGTAGGTGAACGGCGGGGGGTTTATAGTTAAGATATTTATTGCTCGATTTGTACTGGTTTGGTGAGTTGCTTTGTTTTGTTGCTTTGGTTTAGGTCATTGGTTATTTTATAATGCAATATATATCGTTATTTAATACCATTGTTGTAATTATATTATAATTATATTGTTTAAATAAGGGTTTAATTACCCAAGTTTGAGGTACGCGCCATCGATCGATTACGATTACGATATTTTTTTTAACGGAAAGAGATAACGACTTCGAAATTTAAACGCGACACGAATTCTTTTTTTCATTACACAAGGAAAATAGGTGAAAATAAAATAAACTATCAAAATCAATTATATTTTTGAATATATTTTTGAAATTCTCCATTAAAAAATTATTGCTAAGCCAAGAATTGCCGAATGCACAACAGCGGAATGGTCGCTGTTAAAAGTATCACTTCGAGCATCATTTCATCTCCCACAGAAAGATCTGCCATTAAAATAATTATGCCAGAGTTATAGCTGAATTGACTTTCGGGAAAAAATGGTAGCTTTTCAACTATTAAGCCCAATAGTAAAAAGAACAGATTAAATATGAAAAAAATACATTGAAATAATCGCATAAAATCTGTAAAAGACGAAGTTGTTGCATGCTGTTTAATCGGGAAACTCGCCGATCAGCTGATATACAAAATAAATCATTATCAATGAGATGTTGAAGTTCATTATTGCGCATAACTGAACCAGTACGCCATTTTCCACAATATTGTTGCCCACAAAATTTCGTTATCTTAATTACAAGTGATTAATCAATTAACTAATTAAAAAATCATATTAGTTTATAATTTTACACATTTTTGAACCATCTACAGATGAATTTCACCTAAAATAAATGAATGGTAAGAGCTAATACTTCAGTTTCTTCAATCGTTAACAATCGTCTAATGGCTTTTTCAAGTTTTAAACAATTTTTTTCCCTATCTATTCACCTGGTAGGTACTTTCTCAATATCTCAAATTGCACTTCATTCATTTATTAGTAACGGCTATTGCTATGGTTGAATCAGTATGATGATGAGACCAGACACATGATGTTATACAAATTCTGGGAAATTCTTTACAAAAGATTCTACTTTAAAAAAAAAAAGTGGAGAAGCAGCAAATGAAAGAAATAATGGTAAAATAAAAGTAGAAAGGAAATAAAAACTCTAATGCAACAGCATAGTGGGTTTTTGCTCAATTTGCGAAGCGCCTAAGGTTCTATTCCCCGCAGGAGTAAACCTGTCCAAAAATCCGGGTGATACTGGCGACTCACCTGCGTTTCTATCGTCAAGGGACTCTCTGGCATATTTGTCGAGTGTGAGACTACGGAGCGAGTTTAACCAGTAATGGTGAGGACTCTTTAAAAAATGTATAACAATAAAATTTTATTCGAATCAACCTGTTCAAGAACATCGATGACACAATTCGGAAATGCTTGGTGCCGTTTCCCGCCAACAGTGCCAGTTGTTCCCTTTGTAACACCAGGTGCCGTTAAAGCGGAACCAACACGTCGATCCATCAATTCAGGAAAAAATTCGCAAAAAACGAGCGGATTTGCTAAAAGTAATACGGATTAACTTAACCTTTGAAATATGTGAAATGAATGCAGTTGTATTGAAACTCGAATATTCGCAAAAAAAATTAAAAAGAAGGCTGCAGGCAATGGATGCGAATAAGGTCGGGAAGGTGAAATCCGAGTGCTGCGAGGGATCTGCCCGCACTTCGCCAGCTAATCTTCCGAGAGGGTCTCATTCTGAAGACCGATGCAGCCGATAAAGCCAAAATGGCTATGGAGCAAACAAACTGCTTCGGCCTCCGGCACGGCAGCGTTAGAGCCGACAATAAAGGCCTCGGGCGGCGATCCATTTGTTGACCCATTTCCAGTAACTCCCGAGCCGAGTGATTCCGGGCAGGGAGCCCTGAAAGCGAACGAAAAGCAAGTGGGGCGAATCCAAACCGCGCCTCATTAATTTATTCCAAATAAAAAATTATGAAAAAGTAGGAAAGCTCGAAATTATTTTAAGAAATCGGTTACAATATATAAAAAATAAAAATTTCCCCACCACTAGTCGTTAGTTGCGGACTGCTAAGCAATTTTCGGATTTTTTCTTTCTATTTTAAGAAATTGGAAATGAAAACTTTTCGCATGGAACTGCAGTTAGGAAATCTGAATCTGCGCTGATTTTTCGACATCGCTTCGAAATTTGAATTGAATTATTCTTTGCAAATTTTAATTTTCGAAACCTTGGGTGGGAAAAGTTCGACAAAAGTTGGGGGCGTATGTAGTGCGTACTTATGTACTGTATCCCCCGATGGGCGTGGTTTACCAACCCAATAATGGGCGATAAATTGAAAAGAAGGGAAAATGTTTCAAAAATTCTAGGCCGAATTAGTGTGTTGTGAGCAATCACTTAGCTCGATTCTTGCCGCGATATAAGTAAACGAGTGATTAAAATCATTGAATCGCATCGTGCTGTATTTCTATTCGCAAGTGACTTTTTGGCAAAGTAGGCTTTGCTAATTCTCAGTGGCGCTTAACTATAAATCATAAATGGTGAGCATTGAGAATTCTTTTTGTTTTATCGCTTTTTAAATATTCTATTAAATATTTTACGAACTTTTATTATTTGCGATAGGTAAATGTAATTATTTAAGATCGATTAAAGAATTTGAGAAGATTAGTTCAGATTAATATAAATAGTTGTAGTGAAGAATTGATTTACATTTTATCCATTCTTGTGGGGGGGGGGGGGGGGG